TGATTATTATTATTATTATTATTATTATTATTATTATTATTATTATTATTATTATTATTTTATTAATTTTAAATATAAATTTGTAACTAACTGGGATCAGCAACGACTGGAGATAATGAAAATGAAGAAATCTGAGACGACAGCCTAAAATAAAGTTACTCTCAGTCGTAATCGTGCGGCAGCGTTGGCCGAGTGTGGCAGTGGAGACCTAACAACTATGGTTACCACCAAAGGAACTCCGATCGGCGCCGCCGTCAGTGTCTCTGCTAATATCAGCTCAGAAGAACACGAAGCAACCACTGTATTTCTCGAAAAAATGGGAGTCAATTACGAAATCAAACCAGAACACGACGCGAAGGATTCATTCTCCAGCCTCGTCGGTGGAGTTCTTCAGGTGATCTCCGTCGGGCGCGGCAAAATCTCTTGCTCTCTAGTCGTCAAACCCTCCATTAAGGTATCTATTATTTGTCTAGCTATTTACTCATTTAGTTTTCAATTTTGTGCTTCTGTGTGTGTGTGTGTCTGAGTCAGTGTGTGTTTGTGTGGTGTGGGATCTGAGTATTTGGAATAATTTGTTGTGATTTTGTTGGATAAGGAATGATTAATCGTCTTCGATGTTTGTGAATTTTGAATCTTTGTGGTGAGAGGTTTCTAGGGTTTTGAAGCAAATTAAGAGAGTGAATAAGGAATTTGGGGAAAAATTTTCAAGCACATTTGCTGACTTTACATGTTTGGGCTTCTTGTAAAGCTTAAATATGTAAACATATAAAACCAAATAGATGTATTTCTATGTTTGGGCAAATGTCAAGGTTGGAAGACAACAATCAAAGATCACATATACATAGGCGGGATACATTTTGAGTAGAGATCAAACTTCTTTTGATTCTGATCATAATAACCAATCTGAAAAAAAAAAAAAAAAATCAACATCATCAACATCAACATCAACATACCCAGTATATTCCCAACAAGTTGGGGTCTGGGGAGTCAGTTGTACGCAGACCTTACCCTTGTAATTATACAAGGAGGCCGTTGCGACCCAAGGTGTGTTGCGTCGTTTGATATATTTTTTTTCTAAAACTTCACTAATAGAAGAAGCACTAGAATTTAATTGAGTCATTTTGATCTAGTCCATTATTAGCACTATGCCAGGAGAATTGTCAACAATGACTCTTCCAGCTCCATTTGAAAAAAAAAATAAAATAAAATAAATGAAAATGGCTCCAAGACTGAAACTCATGTGAATGTTTTGTGTTGGGTAATGTTTTCTATTTTTAGTGACTTCATCTTCTCCAGCTCCTCTATTTTGACTCTGAACTTTTGTAAATTTTGATAATCGGGTGCGTAGAACGCGTATGGTGGCATGCATGGAGGTTCGGTGGCAGCTGTTGCCCATCGCGTAGCAACTGCTTGTGCCAAAACAGTTGTTGGCAAAGACAAAGATATCTTCCTTTCCGAACTCAGCATCTCTTACCTATCTGCCGCTCCAGAAAATGTAATTCTTTGTGCAATTTTTACCCAGTCAGCTATTTGCATTTTTTATGATCTTGATTAATCAAGTCGAGGCCTTGTTAGTTGTTATGTGACATATGCTAAGTGACTTATGTTGCTCCTTCTTGTAGCTTGATTGCAGTTTTATGTCGCTGAATGCAAGTTTTCATGGTTTTATTATGCAAAATTTTTCAAGGTGGGCAATACCAGTTTTCCGTGGCCATGAGAACTCGGTTTGCATTATTTCGAGATGCACGCTAATTAGAAAATGCATTTGCCCCTTATAATTTATCTGCAATCAAATTCTTTTGACTCTGTTGCATGAGTCCTTATTGGGGAAAATGGTGATGAGTCGACAAGCAAATTTATAGTGATAATGAAGAAGGTTACTTGGGGGATTTAACTTAGTTAGAATAGAAAATTTTAAGAAATGACAAGACTTCAGTTGTGTTTTAGAATTACCAATA